GTTCCAAACCTGGTTGCACATTAGAATAACTGGGGAGGGAAGGGAGGCAGTCGGGGGGGGGGGAAGGGGTGGGGGGGTGGGGGGTGGTGGGGAAAGGGTGCGGGGTGGGGAGTTGAACCACCAGAGGCCCAGAACAATCATGTCAGAATTCAGGTGTGGGGCACTGGTGTTTTTCAAAAGCTCTCTGGGGGTTCTGGAAGGCCATCTCAGAGAGAAACCATAGGATTATGTGGGGTGACCAGTCTGGGGAGAAAGGAAGGGCTGGGGGAAGAAAGCACCTCTTTTTCTGACCTCCCCCTCCAGGGTCTTACGAAAACCTGAAGGCAGGCAGGTCACAGGCTCCCTTGTGGCTTAAGCTGTCTTGGCACCTAGAAGCAAGTAACTAGAGGCCTTTGTTTTCCTCAAGACTGTTGATCCAAAACCCTCCCCACCTGCTCCCTTGTGGCTGCTGGGGAGAGGGTAGGAGTCTCAGAGAAGCCTGGCCAACCTTTTGAATGGGCAAGGACCTTCCTTTCTGTTGTCCTCCGCCCTGGTGCAGGGACCACTTAGCACATAAGTGAGAGTGGGGCAATAACTTAGCTCTTTGCCTCCCTCCAGAAGGGACACTGTCCTAGAGGCTGTCACAAGGTCCTTTCCTTTGACCCTTCAGGTAATGATAGCTAATATTTAGAGAATACTTTTTAAATAAGATAACACAGATCTTTGTTTGAAGCCTCCCAACAATGGGATGGTAAGTGATGTGATTATCACCCCTGTACAATTATTTCTGCTGGACAGATGCAGAAACCAAGGTTCTGAGTTCAGTGGCTTCCCGAGATCATGGGACACAAACCCAGGGATTCAGGCTTCAGACCCGTGCCCTTCACCAACTAAAGGCGATCCACGGCATCTGGGACCTAACACCTGCCCTCTGGGGCCTTGGCAGGGAGACTCCTCAGATGGTTACAAATCCAGGGGGCTGGCAATCTTTCCTGTTCTATATTTTCATCTTTTAACCACCATCTCACTGTTCCTAATACACTCCACACTTCTGCAATTTGCCAAGGGACTTCTTGATTTCTGGGTTTATACAGCTGGGCAGGATGTAATAATCTGACACTATTTTGTGTGCCTAAAGAGACTGAGGTGGGCAAGAATCAGTGCATAGGATTAGAAGGATCAAAGGAAAAGACATACTGACTGACCAACTTTGTCAGCCCCTGGAGCTAACAGAGCCAGACAGCAGGTTCCAGGGGCAGGTCGGACCTCTGCTGTATTTCTGCTTTCTCCCCAGGAACATCACATCGTCTCGAGCTTTCTTTGGACCCAAGGCATCAAATTCTAGGACAAGAAAGGTACAGTGGCTGGCTGCCCTGTGGCAGTTTTGTGCGTCCTCAAGTTAGCGAACGGGGAGGAGGAGAAAGGGAAGAGTAAACGAAAACATTCTCATAAGACTGCTGGGCGGGAGCCCTTTAGAACCGCCTCCAAGAATGAAGCACAGAACTGAGCAGCCAGCCAGTCAGGGCTTCTCAGACATGGCCACTAGGGTTCCCTGAACCCCAATATCAGGGAAGGATGACTCCATATGTCCCCCTGGGGTATAGCCAGCTGAAAAGTTCTTGGAAGTCTTGATTTACCGTTAAAAGTCCTGTGACTTTTACATTCTGTTCCTCAAAATGTGTGTGTGTGTGTTTTTGTTTTTTGTTGTTTTTTTTTTACTATGAAAGTCACATTTAAACTGCTCACTATGAAGAAAACACCAAGCCTTGGGAAGACGTTTGAGAACTTTCTGGGTCCTGCTCTACAGAGACCATGCTGACTGGCTTGAAAGGCCATCTCAAACACTTTACCTGAGTCCTCTCACTTCAGCCTCACAGCGAGCCTGAGAGGTAGCCTTTACAGATGAGTAAAATGAGGCACAGAGAGGTCAGGTACCCTGCTCAGGGTCACTCATGGGGAAGAGTGGTAGTGGGACTCCAGCCTGGCTCCAAACCACTGAGCAATACAGCCGCACCCCCTTTGTGCGCTGCAGTTGAGCTGGGTGATGACTGGTTTGGGGTTACTCGGGTTTAAAGAATTGTTTTTAATGCCTGAGAGACCAAACTGGAACTTGTTAACTGAGGCCTCAGGGAGCAAGATTTCACTACAATCTAGACTTGGTGACTGCTGAGCTACTCAGAGACAGAGCAAGTAGCCCTGGGCAGGGAATGGGGACCCTGCCTTGAGAACAGAGGCCGGGTGGACACTTGGCTGGCTGGCTGAAGAGAGGATTCAGGCGTCTTCTAAGTGCTTGGCTGAGTTATCGTTACTTTTCCTAAAGACCTTTTCACCTTGAGCTGCTTGATGCTAACTGACGTATTTCATCACTTGGTCTGAAAAGAGGGATTTGAGGTGGCTTTTGGATACATATGACTAAGCGAGAACACAAAACAAAATAAAATGAAGAAGCAGGTGAAGGAAAATAAAGGTAGGAAAATGAGACAATGTGAGATAAGTGTATGAAAAATATGCCACAAGGTGTAAGGGATGGGCCATAGATCTGGCTCTGAGCTTCCTGGTGGCCACAGCAAAGAAGGAAACTTTGCCACCATGTTCATGAGATAAAAGCAAGCTAGCTTCCCAAGTGAAGTGCTGCCTTTCCTGATACGGTGACCTGAAGACTTTTCCAGTGGAAGGTCATAAAGAAGGCCCTGGAAAACATCCCTATGATAAACTGAATAGTAGTGAAATTAGTGCAGACAGTTCCGCTTGCTCTGAAAATGTGAATTTGTTCCATAAAGGTTAATACATTAGTAGACAACAACACAAATTTCATGTGTTTATCAGTGATTTTTGTCAGCAAGAATGCTGGTAAATGCAGAAAACCACACTCAATGGAAAGAGCCACGTAGGAATATACAAAATAAACGCACACACATGCTTTGGACGGCCATCCACTTCACTGAGTGTTACAACCAGCTTTCTACCACTTCACGATAACGCCCAAGCTGCCACCCTTCCAACGCCCACTTCCCCAAAGCAACTGTCAAGCCTTTCCCAAGGTCAAGTGCCATATTTTCAGTCGTATTTACGTACTGCTTAACCAGTGAATGTGTGTAAAACTGCTTCTATCTTCCCTAGGTTTCTCCTCGTTTTGCGCATCACTGACCAAGTTTTTGAGTGTGATGCCACTAATCCCTTTTCCCAAAAGCCCTGTGGTTTTGATTGCACAGTTTTGCATGGTGGATTTTAGGCACTCACATGTCACATAATAGCAGAACTGACTGTGCAGCTCTTTCCTGCATTGTCCTTTGATCAAGCCAGTGGCTTAACAAAGAGCCCCCTTCAGTGGGAAGAACAGCCCCACCACACAGGCCCAGGCTGTTCGGGATTCCAACACAGGGGTTGCAGGCAGACGGGGCTGGGGCCTGTTCAGTATGTTGCCCTGTGTGCAAAGACCCTTTCCTACGGCTGCTGGAACAAATGACCACAAACTGGATGGCTTAAAACAAGGCAAATGGATTCTCTGGTAGTTCTAGAGGCCAGCAGTCCAAAATCAAGGTGTCAGCAGGGCCATCCTCCCTCTGAAGATTCTGGAGGCTCCAGGTGTTCTTGGCTCACAGCTACATCACTCAGTCTCTGCCCCCATCATCATATACCTTCATATAAGGACACCGGTAATTGAATTTAGGGCCCACCTTACTACATTATGACCTCACTTTAATTACATGTGCAAAGGCCCTATTTCCAAGTAAGGTCACATTCTGCGGTTCTGCACAGACAAGAATGGTGACAGCGGGGGTTGGGGGTTAGACGTGAAGAGGGGACACTATTCAGCCCAGCATAGGCTCCGAGTGGAAGAAAGATGTCATCAATCTTCCAGCATCCCTTTCCACATGATTCCTTCAGCAAGGACTACCAGAACTAGCATTCGGATCCAGGCTGAAGGATTCCGAAGCCCAGGCTGGACTTCCAACACCACAGGGCAGGCAGGTCTTATCTATTAGTGGGAAAATGCCGCAGAGTCCCCCCCAGCTGAGTGTGAGGTGTAGTAGGATGCCAGAGCCATCAGGTCCCAGAGATGTGGCATTCAGGAGAAGGGCTGGGCAGGGTAAATCCAGAAAGCTCTTGGATCCCCACTGGGATGCTGCACTACTAGCCAGCTTGGCTTGCAGATCCGGGGGTGGCCCAAGTCTGGAAAGGGAAGGACAGCTCTTCCCTCCCAGCCCTCCTTTGGGGTCCACAGGGACCTAGGGAGGCTCCTACCCACCCCAACCCCAGAAACAGCTCCCTTATTTTCTTATCCACAGAGCCCGCCCTGCCAACACCCACTTTCTCTCACCATTCGACGGCACCCCCACTTCCGGGATCTGTTTAACCTCTCCACTCCAGTGCTGCTGTCCGGGGGCCTCTTCACCCAGGAGCTCTGGGACAGCCTGAGCCAGCACAAAGCGCCCTATGGTTGGCAGGGGCTCTCCCGCCAAGGTAACCTGCAGCCCTCTGGCCTCAGCTAGTCCACTCATCCTGCTTTTGGCCTTGGTGCAGGACGGGCCTTCCTGCCCTCACAGCACCAAGATGTGAGACCCCTGCCTCTTCCTCCCAGGTGGGCCTCAGGGCTTGACCCCTCGCCTCTACAAGTACCACAGGGTCAGGGAGGGGAGCTGAGCAGCTCTCCCCATCCTGGGGTCTCCCTGGCATGGAAGATGCCAGTGTCCAAGGTGGCTGAGGACAGGGCCTGTGGGGCCTCACACAGCCTGCTGATGGTTCTGCTGTGGGAAACAGTCCAGAACCCCCTCACATTAAGTCTGTCCCCCTACTCCCATCCCCATGTGCCTCAAATTATTTTCTTTTGGAATGTACACTGTCTTGGGAGAACTGGTTGAGTTCCTGAGATGATTGAGGGCACAGCCAAACTCCTCCCCCACCATCCTCTTTTCAAGACATTACATTCTCCTTCATCCTCTGCACCTCTTGAGAGGGGCTGGTGTCAGGCCTCGGGCAGGTGGGGCTCCAGGAACAGTCTCGGGAAGGCCCCAATGACCCACGTGACTCCTCATGGCGTCCCACCTTGTCCCACACCCACAGCCATCACCTCCACACTGAGCCTCCTGAATGGCTCTGAGAGCACCACGCTGTTTGCTGTCTCCAGGGAGCTGCTTCCAGGCTGCATTCGGTGTGCTGTGGTGGGTAACGGAGGCATTCTGAATGGTTCCCGCCAGGGTTTGAACATTGATGCCCATGACTACGTGTTCAGGTATGTGGCATGGGAGCCGGGAAGGAGGCAGCAGAGGAGCTGGGTGGACAGCTGGTCCCCAGCCAGCCCTAGGGGGAGCATCTTGCGTGAGGGTGGTGGGCCAAGGAAGCAGTGGCCTCTGGCAGCTCAGCAGTTGCAATGGGCAGCCCTATGCAAACAGGCCCTGAAGACGAGTGTGAGTATGGCTGGCCAAGGGGACCCAGGAGGAAGGAGCTGCCAGGGCCCCATTTCACAGGGCATCCCTTGAGATCCAGAGGAGCAGGGATGGGGGCTGGTGACGGGCACTGGGGCTGCCATGGGCAGCAGGAGTAGTGGGACCCTGGGGATAGAAGTAAACACACAGCATTGTGTAGCCACAGGCAGGCTGATGAACCTCTGTTTGGACCAGACTCAATGGTGCTGTGATCAAAGGCTTTGAGAAGGATGTGGGCACCAAGACCTCCTTCTACGGTTTCACCGTGAACACAATGAAAAACTCCCTCATCTCCTACCGAAACTTGGGCTTCACTTCTGTGCCACAGGGACAGGTGAGGCCCCTGATGGGCACATCAGTGTCACTGACGGTCAGTGCTGTTGTTTCTGGACCCCTCTCCGTTGGGTGGGCCACAGGGTTCCCAAGTCCCCACCCAGTGGACCGAGAGGTTGTGCCAGAACACTGGGCACACGTGATGGAGCCACTGAGGAGGAGGATCTGGGCAGGGGTGCCCCATGGTTTCGGGCAGCATAGGACAACTCGAGTGGAGCATGAATGGCTAATATTTACTGAAAGCTTCCGGAGCACCAGGCACTTCACAGAGTCCACATCAGCCCTGCCTTCCTGGTGAGGAGACTAAGGCTCCATGCCCCTTCATTCAGCCAAGCGGTGGTAGGGCCGGATTCAAATCCAGATCCCCTTCCCCCCCTGAGCTCATGCTACACACAATGGGAGGGTATTTACTGAGTGCCGCCTCCATTTCCCGCACTGGACACAGTCACCACAGCAGCCCATTTCCAGATGGCAGCATGTCCAAGGCCACCACCCAGCCAGAATCATCAAAATCTCAGCCCCTCTGACCATCCCCCATGCTGCCCCCCAGAATATGTGTGCCCTCCTGAATGCTCACAGCAGCCTGTGTGGGAAGCTGAGAGTTCAAAGAACAGACATGTCCAGAGTCACAGCTAGGGAGCAGGTGAACCAGAATTGGAGCCCGTCCGCCGCCTCCAGACTCTTTCAGCCACACCTAGTTGCTGTAACACCTGGCGGGCTGGTTACCACATGCAAGGGGAGGTCCCAGGATGAGGGTTCTGTGGTGCTCTATAAGGCCTGGTTTGAGTTTCTAGAAGCTCCCTCCTCTGACCAGGGAATTCAGGAGGGTCCTAGCCACAGTGTCCGTGTACCAAGGCCTCACAGCAGAACCTCTCTCAGCTCATGACAGAACAAATGGAGCAGCTCTATTTCTGGTGTAGCAGAAGAACCTGCATCGGTTATCTATAGCTGCTTAACAAATTACCCCCAAACCTAGTAGCTTTAAACTACAAACGCTGATTACTTTACGGTTTTAATGGGTCAGGAATTTGGGAGCAGCTCAACAGAGCGGTTTGGGTCCAGGATTTCCCAGGTGGTTACAGTCAGGACTGACAGGGGCTGCAGCCACCAGAAGGCCTGCCTGGAACCAGAGTCATGATGGCTTCCCCACAGCCCTTGCCATGCCAGCCCCTCTGTCAGCTAGGACAGTGTCCTCATGCCACGGCAGCTGACTCCACCTCTAGTGAGCAATCCCAAAAAGCAAGAAAGCTCCAGTGCCTTTTATGACCCAGTCTCCAAGGTCACACACCCTTACTTCCACTTTTTTCTATCTACTAAAAAAATTCTGTTTATTAGTTACTAAGACCAGGCCACACTCAAGGGGATGGCAAAATTAAGCCTCACTTCTTGAAGGTAAGAGTTTCAAAGGATTGGCGAATGAGTACTGCAACCACCAGGATGTCTGGAAGTGGGCATCACGGGCATGAGTCAGGGCGGGCGGCAGGACGGGGCGGAGGGCTGCTGCCCACCAGGGCTCAGTTTCTCTATTGCCCTGACAGGACCTGCGCTATATCTTCATCCCCTCAGACATCCGAGACTACGTGATGCTGAGATCGGCCATTCTGGGTGTGCCAGTCCCCGAGGGCCATGATAAAGGGGACAGGTGAGCAGCCAGGTTGGGGGCAGGCTATGGTAATGCCGTGCTGGTCTCCCCTTGCTCGGGGGCCCACTGTTGGACAGGAAGGGCGGGTGAGGGCAATGAGAAAATCTCCCAAGAATTGACCAGAGCATCGGGGAATTAAGCTCTTTTCCCCTACCCCCAGGAAAGCTCAGGTAACAGTCCTGGCCCCCTGGAGCCCTCCTGATAAGGTGGGCTATAGGTTCCAGGGGCTCCTTTCTGAATGGAGCAGGCAGGCCTGGCTCTTCAACTTTAGGCCTCTGTCCATAACCCACCCAGCCACCCAGCCAGCAGCATCCGCAGGGCCTGCTCGCAGCTGGGTCTGCCGTCCTGTTGAGCACAACGTGTCTAGAAACTAAGAGCCAGGGCCAGTATCCATTCCACTCATCCTGGTGGGCACCCTCCCAAGACTGCCCAGGAAATGGGAGAGCAGGTGACATGGGCCCAGTGTCCTGCAAAGTGGGAACAAAGGGCCCTCTGTCTCCCCCACCTTCCTGCGCAGCAGGCCTGTGTCCAGCTCTTCTGAACCATGTCTTGGCCTCATCTGAACCTTCTCCCTGTAGTGCTGAGACAATTTCTTGTCCCTGAGTCAGATCCTTAGAAATCTACACCCTCTGTGGCTGCAATGACCAGGCCTCCTATCTTAGGGGTCTGGGGACATTTTGCCCACCATGAAAGAGCAGCTTCTGAGGCGTCCTTAGGGGTTAAGCCCTCGGAGGCCAGCTCCACCTGCCCTGTGCCCCACCCCCACCCCACCACGTGATGACCCAACAATTGTTCACAGTGCTGTGGCTGGTCACGAGGGTGGGCTTTGTGACACAGGCGGGACTGGGCTCTTGGGGAGCTGGCTCAGAGACACCAGGTGGACATAAGCCTCCACAACACCAATGAGCTCCCCTTCCCATACCCCTAATCCATCCCCTACCCAGTCCCCCTCCCAGTCCCGGTCCAACCACCTCAACCAGCAGCCCTATGCCAGCTCTGGTGGCTCAGCCCCTTCCCCGTCCCCAACCCGGGGATCTTCCCGGCCTGCCTCACAGCCCTCTTCCCGGGCTTCCTCCCTGACCCCCAGCCCTCATATCCAGCCTCGAGGGTCTGCCCAAAATGCTACTCCACCCACCTCCAAATCTCCCTCCCAATCTGGCTTGAAATCCACCTCTAGAAACTCTTCCCAGAATCCCCCTGTGCCCAGCACCAAGTCCCCCTTCCACAGCCCGGCCCCCTCAGCCTCCTACATTGGGCCCATTCGAGGCATCCCATCCTACATTGCCCCCTATGTGCCCCGCTTCCTGAAGGAGCCCCCCTTTTTCCAGCCTCCTACATCACCACTCCCCCAAAACCAGTGCTTCCCCTGCTCCTTCCCCTGCCCATCCCGGAATCAGGAGCGCACTCCCCCTAAATCTCTCTATTTCCCTCTCCTCCCACCCCCTCCCTACCACCCTCAGATCAACTGCTCCTACCCGACTCCTCCCGGTCTATTCACGCCCCCCTCCTCTCTCTCCTACTCCCTGCCCACCGAAGTCCTAGTGGGCGGGAAGCCGCACGTGGTCCCCACAGTGCTGCCAGCCACCTTCTACACCCCCTTCTCCCGCTACTATGCCCAGCCCCACCCCTACAGGTCCATACATCGCCGCCGCCCCAGCACCTTCCCCCTCTCACTCCCCAACATGCCATACGATGGCACTGGCCGCTCTGTCCACTTCTTTCATGGGTCCTAGGCCCCAGACCTATTTTGGACCAGAAGCCTCCGCCAGCAAATTCAAGCTACTACATCCAGACTTCATCAGCTATCTGACGGAGAGGTAGGTGCTGGTGATGGGGTGGGAGGAGGGTGCCAGAAGACCTGCTCCCCTCACAGCGCTTTATACCACCCCCACCCCCGCTGACACACATTCCTGGGCCACGTGCCAAGGATGCCCCCGGGAGCACTTACACTGCTTCACTTAATACTTTCTTTAAATAGCTTGATGGAGATGGTGTTCTATCAGTCCAGGTAGACAGGTAATGGACAGGGCACTCGGCAGAAATCAAGGTTTGCTTACTGGGGATGTTCACAACGGCACAGGCCGGGTATGGGGGGACCATAGGTGCGGGGCTGTACCGGGACTAGTAGAAGCCAAGTTGTCATCACTTGCAGCCAAACCTAGCCAACAGAGCAACCGCAGGAAGGAGCCTGGGGAACACTGCCAGCAGATCTCACCCCTCACCGCCTCCCTCCCTCCTTCCAGTGGTTCTCAGCAGGACACAGCGGGGGGTAATCTGTCCCGTCCCGGAGACAGTTTTGATTGTCACTAGGCGAGCATGAGTGCCACTAGTGGGCAGAGGCCAGGGATGCTGCTGAACATCCTACGATGCACCAGACAGGCTCTGCAAGAAAGATCTGGCCCAAAGTGTCAACACTGCTGCTGCTGAGCAGCCCAGCAGCTAGCATCCCGACGCAGAGCAGGCCAGGGTGTCAAGTGGGTCTGGGAGGCAAACTGAAGACTATTCAACAGAACAGGCTGAGAGTCTAGGTGAATCCAGGGCTGAGGTCAAGGCCTGTGGTCACCATACTGTGGCTGGCCTCACTTTTGGACCGCCTGGGCGTGTCTGTGTTCACGTGCCTGCACCATCTCACCAGTGACTCCAGCAACAGGGCCTGTGTGCTCTGTCCTTCAAATGCAGCTCCTGCTTGGCCAAAGTCTGGAGGTAGAGGGAAACTTAGGTCTCAGGCCACCTGTGCCCGAGGCATCATGGTGTAAGCAGGGTGTTGCAGAGAAGACAAGTTAGGCTGGATTCAGGCTTCTAGGGAGTGGGAGAAATGGGGAAGGGTCTCATTTGCAGTTTGAGAGCCTGCTCCTTTTTCTCACCCCCACTGTTATCTACAGTGTCATTTCAACCAAAGATTTTTGCATGTCGTTCATTTTTTTGTCTTTTCCGAAATAAGGGGTGGACTGGGCCAGAAATGTTCACAGCTTTCCGACCTGTCTGATGTGGTGTAATGGCACAGCCATCAGGCTAGTGTGCAAGACGAGGTCTTGCATTTTTATGCCTCTTTTTCCTTCCAGGTTTTTGAAATCAAAGTTGATTAACACAAAATTTAAAGACCTTTATATGCCTAGTACTGGGGCCCTCATGCTGCTGACAGCTTTGCATACCTGTGACCAGGTAAGAGGTCTTCTCTTTTCAGGAGCCCACAGCAGCTCAAAGTGAATGGAACCTAATTTGATCCACAATACCCCTGCCAGCCCAGACCATGGACTCTGGGCTTCTATCTTGTAGAGGGTAAGGATACCCCAGCTGCAGGAGTGATCTGGCTAGGGCACAGGCTGGAGGAAGTGTTCTCCAGAGTCCCTTGAAGGAGAGCTTCCTGGGCCAGCCCTGCCTTTCCTCCCACAGCCACCATCCCCCCGCCCCCTTCCCCACTTCCTTCTTTCACCCTCTGTCCTATAGCACTCTATATGGTATTTAAGGCACATGGTAGCAAATTGCTCTTGTGAAAGCAAAATCTTCTCGAAAGAAGTGAGTAGACATCTTTTTATGAGGACATTCTAGGACTGACGTGGGCAGCCTGCACACACAGAATCTCTGAAATCACTTTGAGATATTCTTGATGGGATGGTGCCCACATGAGCCGCGTGGAGACACAGGTTGAGAAGTGATTTTCAAGGAAAGGTAGTGACCAATGCTGAAGCCAGCACAAGAACTGGAGGCCAAGCACCACTGGACTCTGGTCCTATACCTTTTCCCTTTTAAAACAGGAGTTTCTTGTCAGCAGTAACCATCAGAATAGGAAACATAGAAAGGTGCTTTCTGCCTCCATCTTGAGCTTATGGCAATCATGGCTTTGGTGTCATAGACCTGAGTTCAAAACCCAGTTCACAAAATGACTGTGGACACACATTTGATCATCTTTCTGAGCCTGTTTCCCCGTTTGTAAAATGGGGCTAATATTTACCTAAGATTAAGGCTGGGGTAAGAAAATGTGCAGAAGGAACAGTGCCAGATGTTACTGTGAGCTACAACTATTGTTTACCCATGGCTTCACACAAGGCACCCAAGGAAGCAGGGCGGTGGAGGGGCCACACCTTTCTAAATTCATGTCACTTTACAGGAACCTGCACATAGCAGATGCTCGTTAAGTGCTAACCCAGTGACTGTCGTTGTCCAGGTTAGTGCCTATGGATTCATCACAAGCAACTACCAGAAATTTTCTGACCACTACTTCGAACGGGTAAAGAAGCCACTGATATTCTACGTGAACCACGATCTGTCTCTGGAGGCCACCCTGTGGAGGGACCTGCATGAGGCCAGCATCCTTTGGCTATACCAGCGCTGACCCTGAAGCGCCCAAGACCTTTGTTCTTTTAGAGCTGTGACCCTCATCCCCTCAAGTGGCCAAAGCTACCTTGTCTTTTCAGCCTCTTGAGAGGAACTCCAAGTGTTTTTGACTGTCCCCTTCTTCAGTGGATTTGTGACTGTCATTGAAGCCTGTTCTTCGTGGGACACCCCATCTTGTCCTTGGCTCATCCGAGAAAACTCCCCTCTGGTCTGAGACAGACATCCCAACTTTGGTCAAGGAAAAGGGACTGCTCTGCTATTCTTGTTTAACAATTGAAGATAAGAGGCTGTGACCCTCACCAGCACAAGGCAGGCCTACTCCAGAGCTGAGCAATTCAAGGCAGCAGTTAGCACTGACAGACTTTAGGAAGTCAGTGGAGTGGCTCACTAATTCAGCTAAGAGCCAGGAGCAAACGCACTCCCCAGCCTAAATCCTCCCACTGGCGTGTCCAGCCTCACAAACTCCAAAGTATTTCAGCTCAGGGACATCTTAACATTTCTGAGAACAGGACCGACTTACTTCTGCTCCCTGATAAAGTGAGAGCACAAAAGGCAGAATGTGACTTCAAAGTAGATAACTGCATAAATGGATGACCACTGTCTTTTTTGTGTGCGCACCAGGCATAGTATACCACGCAGGGTGTTTAGCACAGAGAATTCGGCATTCAGAATTCAACCCAGGGAAGGTTCTGATGGAGGTCAACTGCACAGAAGGCTGTGTGTCTCTGATTAAAGTCCCACTGGGGATGTATTACAACCCTGTCACCAAAAGGATGACACCATCAGGTACTGAACCTCATGGCTTCAGTAATTTGACTTAATTGATCAGCAGTTGTAGATTATAAGAGCTTCTATTAGAAGTGTAAACCAACTGAGTTACTATTGGATTTACTGTCCCAGTGACTAGTCTCATGTTGCTATACCCTGCAAGGCAGCGGATGGAGTGGGGGATGTCTCCACAGGGCTGGTTGGCAGGAGACTCTTCCCACTAACCCGGCCCCTGGTTCTGTGGTTTTGAAGGAATGATCCTAATGGCATGTTTGGCAAGAGAGCTGAATCAAAACACTGCTACTTTAAAAATTCAGAGACGTGATTAACAGAATGGACATTTAGACTTTAATGACTAAAAGCAGCTACTTGAGAAACTATAGCTTCCTGATGCCTGGACCCCTTTTTAACTATACTCCCCCATGCCCCCAATTCCCATCACTTCTGTAGTTACCAAAATCTGTCAAGCCCTTCAAGGGGGGTAAGATCAATTTAGTGGGAGACTTAAAAAAAACCCCAAACACCTGACTGCATCCTGCGTGTTAACTCCAATTACTATTCTCCAAAACTCATTTATATAAGGACTGTGTTTACATATGCATAGAAGAAACATTGCTTTTATGTGGGTCTCGATCTGAAATCCACAATGCTAAGTCAATTTTTAAAATTTTGTTTCAAAGTTAAAGCCATGACACATTGACTTCATAGGAAATCCACTGAGATATTTTTCTAGGCTGAACACCTGTTTCCCCTCAGTCTCCCCCAACAGAACAAGTCCATGTTAATTACTCTCCTTTTCCAACCATTGCTATCCCACCACTACGAGTTAGACCAAGATAACCTAAACCGTAGTGTTCTGAATGTTCTTCACTAACTGCCAAAGATTTTCTGGGAAAAACTATCACTTCAACTCTTTGTCTACCTTTGAAGATGAAGTCCAAAAAACTGTTAAATGATTCTCCTTTGGGGGTTTTATTTTATAAGCATGAACAACTAGCACGGGGGATTGTGCTGATCCCATCTGACATCACTGGGAGACAACCTGTAAAACCAAAGAAGAATCATTTGATGCAACGGCTAAGTTATTCAAAATTTAAAGAAAAAACTAATTTAAAGGAAAAAAGGCAACCAGAGACGAACTCATTCTAAGCAATCAATCATTAGGCTGTGTGTGTGGAAGGCACAATGAGATGGATTCAAATGTAGGCCTGTGGGTCCCAGATGACTCAGAGCCACAACTCCTTACAGGAGACAGTGCTCCCACGGGCAGAGTCTGGCAAGTGGCCAGTTCAGAGCAGGACATTTATGTTCAACCCCTCCTCTGGATGTAAAACTTTTAGGGTCAACCTACAGGTTGGCCTGAGTCCTGCAGAGTGGTCAAGTTCACTCAGAAGCAGACTATAACCGAGCAGGTAGACTCTGCCACTTGCCAACACATCTTTCACTTCAGGCTATAAGCTGCTGGGACCAGCTTTCAGGCTCATTAAACCTCACCCTGAACAGCTTCTTTGGTCACTGAACAAGTATGTGACCTTACATATAAAGAGCTGCTGACACCCCCCCCCATTTCAACAGAAAAGAAAGGCAATCTGTGTCCACTTCTAGCCTGGCATTTAAACGGAACAAAGTCAGACAGACACACACACACACACACACACACACCCCCGCCGCCCAGCGCTACTCTGTTCTCTTGCTCACATGCCAGCCATGCCACACAGGCAGAGCTGGGCAAACCCAGGAGAGCTCCCTGGTGTGAACAAAGCACCCGAAAACCAAACCGCTGTGCTGGCGCCACGGTACCCCCTTCTTTCCTGAATATCAGATTATGGTGCAGAGCCAAGAGGTCAGACAGTCCTCAAGTATTCTCACCGCCACAGCCGGCATACATCTATTCCAAAGAGCGCATTCATTTTCTTGAAATATCTGACAAGCACTTTCATTCCACAGTAAGTGCATAAACCAAATGCGGGCCACTTGCCCATTTCTGCCACCTCTCGTAGCTTGTGCCCCTAGAGCCATGAATCAAAGGGCCCAGAGTGACAGGGCAGTCACACCACTGGTTTTCAAGAGGGGTGATGCACTGGGGTTGGGGTCTCTGCAGGGTGTACACAATCCCTTTGGCGTTCATTTGATTTGATCCCTTACAAAGCCTGAACTTCTTTTTAAGAGCACAGGGCCAAACCCTTAAACCTCAGAACAGACTTTTTTTCCCCTCAGTGGAGATTTTCAGACAGCGATAACTAACCATCACAGGCCTGTGGAGCTTCTTCAGCAAGATGGAAACAAAGCTTACAAACAGGAGTCATTTCACTTGCTTCAGGTAAAGCTGTTCAGTTCTGTCTCATACACTGCAGACACCTAGCGGAGAAAATAAATTTATGTCAAAGTCTCCCTGCCTCTTAGCACAACCCTAAGGCTGGGGCAGGGGAAGCAAAAAGAACACTCCACCCAAGCCTGTTTCAAACGTCTTCTCTATTACACGCACGAGAAAAATTCCGCCTGGGGTCCATGGCACTGCTGCTAGTTAGTGTCTTCTGGAGCATCCTTTTCAGCCTCAGAAACAGGCTGAGACTGTACCTGGCAAGAGAAATTGCAAAGAAAAACCTATTCAGTAAGATACACACAGGCATCTCTCCGATAGCTCTCTTTTAACTCAGGCATTAAAAAAACAAATACGAAAACAGGCCTAAACTTTCTATAAAACAAACTTGGGAAACTGAGTCTCAGACATTCAAATTCCACACGGAAAGGCCTTTCTTTGCCTTCAGACAGGGATAACTTCAAATCATCACAGACTCAGCTCCCACCAGTATGCCAGCCCACAGCACTGACATCCATAGCACATGCAAACTATGTTTTCCTTGCCAAATTCTGCTTTACTTCCCTTCTGGGAATTCATTCCATCTTGTCTGCTTCATTAGAATGTGCTTTCCCTCAAGGGCAAAAACTATCTACTGCCGAGCTGTACCCAGTATCCCAGATCTGACTCACTGACAGTTCCTGTACTTTTTAAAGCCAGGCTCTCCCTCAGCACAAAGTGTCTAACAGTCAAGTATGGGGGATTCTAGTGTCTTTCTAGTGTCAGTAAAATGCCCCAGACACTGCAGATTACTCCTTTCAGTCAGCCCACTGAAGGCTAGCTGCACAAAGGGTACCTGATGCCAAGAGAAAACATCACACAAGATCATTTTTCCTTCCCTCTATGCTAAACGATCCTGCAGAGCAACCACATGGCTTTCAGTTCTGTAAGACAGAGGATTACAGATCTGCCCTGAGAGCTACTTAAAAATAGCCAGTATTATAATCTTGCTATAATAAAAATCCTTGAGCTAAAGGGAGCTCAGATCACCTAACTGTTCCTCCACACCCACTCTTAAAATACCACGCAAGATTCTTGGGCTGCACTCCAGAGCCATCTCACCCCATCATGGCTGAAAGTGGGGTCCGGGACATGTGTATATTGTAACACTATATAAATGTTTCTGATGCACAGCCATGTTTTTGAAAAGCACCACCCCTGTTCTACAAATGAATAAGGTGCTGGTGTGGTTATGTGGTAACGGCTGAGACTGGGGCTCAGATTTCTCAAGTTAGTCTAAAACAGGGTTTCAGCCTCAGCTCTAACATTCTGAGTGGATAGTTCTTTGCCATGGGGGCTGTCCTGTGCACTGTAGGAGACTTAGGGGCACCCGCTGAATCCCAGCAGCATCCACTACCCCAAGAACCACCAGTCTAACTTAATAACTAGTCATGCAATTATATCTCAAAAAAATTAATAATACCCCCCATCCCTCAAAATCAACTGCCCATATTTTTATGGTTCTTAAAAAGGGCCTAGCAAAGAGAGTTCCATACTACTTCCCTTATCCGGGCAGTAATAATCCTGGAAGACCCACACATCTCCAAATCTAACAGACCAATACTTAAAGGGATCATAACCTATGCAATTCTGTGGAAGACCTAAAATTCTTACCGTTTATAAAAATTTCACCACAGAGATCCTTACACTCAAAGTCTGCAGCCAGCACCTTTAATCTAAAAGAGAAGTTTGAATAACACATTTTATTCTAACAGAAACAATCTTAAGGTGTTTATTCTCAAGACTGATTATTTAAATAAAGTTGAGCCTCAGCAAGTTAGAACTCCTCACAGACGTCCTCTCAGACAGGGATAACTTGAAATCATCCTCAGCTCAACCAGTAACAAACATTTCTATACCGAAGGCAACCACAACTCATTTTTTCAAGTCTCACTTTCACCCCCGTATGCAGGGACATCCATTTTGGTTTCAAACAGTGACACCTAGTGGCCCCAATTACAGAGGCACAGACCATCCCCATTTCTGGATTCTGGGTAGTACCCTAACTGGATCCACGTGTCAACATGGCTCCACAGAACTGAACTTCAGAACAGCGCGCGGAGGCCACAAGTAATAGGCCTTCAGAGTCTCGGCTTTTTCATTTCTGGTGCCCACCCAGGTCCTGTCTGCACCCTTTCTTACTCACTTCAGGGCTTCATTCACTGCTTTTAAGCTTCAACTTGCAGGTCTGCTTCTCACTGTCTCTGCAGGTATCAAAGAAAAGCCTGTGGGGAATAAAAACATGAGCACGTTAAGGGTCGTTGTAAAACTACTTTTGTTTCCAAATAGTCTACTATCCCACTGATGACTACCTGTAGAATTAAACACTGCTTGGGGGCCGTCCTCCAGGAGGAAATATTTAGAGGTCAACACCCTTAATGTGAATTAAGACCTGCCCCGTGGAAGGGCCTGTGGGACTCGCAGGGCCGCTGGGCCCGCACGCTCAGCACATGGGTGGCTGTGAGGTGGAGGGGCTGCGCAGGCTGGAGGGACCTCTCTCTCCCAGGAGGGGCACCCCGAGGCCGAGCTTGGGTTCTCTCCCCTCAAGAATAAAAGCTCGTGCCCTTCGTAAAGCGTTTTCTCATCCATTACCTCAGCTAACCCTCCCAACTACTCTACTGTGGAAGACCGGGTATATCTTCGCCATTTCGCCTCCGACGAAAGGGAGGCCAAGCATGCTCGCTCCCTGTCAAGGAAGACCCCGTTTTCCCACCTCCGCCGCCTTACCGCCGCCAAAGGCCCGAGATTGCTGGCCGCATTCAGACCGGGCCGAGACCGCCATGACTCCCACCCGCGCAGCCAGCCTCGAAAAGAGGGCGGAGCTGCGCCTGCGCGCAAGTTTCCCCCGCGGTCTCGCCGGAGATCTCGCGATGTTGCGGAAAGGCTGATGGGAAATGTTGTCCCAACATCCGCCTTTCGCAGCGATTGCGTCCTAAACGCTGCTCTGGAGCCGGGTAAGGTGGTGGCCGCCACCAGGGACAGTAGAGAGCCCGGGGTGGGAGGCGTGCTCGGTAGAGAACCATGGCCGTCGGAAAACGAAGATGGTCGCTTCAGCCACGGTCATTTATCAATTGAGTGACTAGACTGTCTCTAGCCAAGACTGGGTTGAGGGTGGGGATCGCAGAAAGTTCGAGGCGGGCCTCACTGGGGTAGGGGGACGGGTGAGGAAACTGAGGCCCGATCGGATTTTGTTCTTAATTGCTCTGCGGATTTTATTGGGGGGGCGGGGCGGGGTCATCTGGGGTGATTGTATTAGAGAAGGAGGGGAGACTCCTGGGGAATTGTGCGACGTCCAACTCAGCTGCTTTTAGTTGGGGCGAGGGCGGTGAGGAGCGGGCGACAGAGGGCGCCGGAGAGCGCGGGGCTGGGCCGGGCTGTTAATTATCCCCAAGTAGGGGGCGAACCCCGCAGCCACCGGGGTGGGGGTGCGGGGAGTGGCTTTAATTACGAGAAAGAAAAATAATTAAAATGACGTGAAGAACAGAATAATTTAACACCCTCTGCTACTCCTGACTGTTATTTTTCAGACGACTACCCCGGCTTCGTTTTTGAAATAATAAAAGGGTAAAAACAGCTACTAGAGTCAGGGTGAGAATTTCCAAACATTTGGAAACCAGTTTAAATTTGCAAGACCACGAAGCTTTTTCTGCATTCCGCTTTCCCCATCTTCATCAGCCCTTTAGCGATGATCTCAGTGGCATTTAGTCTGGATTAAATTGTTCTGTGTACGGTATTGTGTTGTGGGTACTTATTTTCAAGTTACCACTTTTGTTAATGTTTGCCTCTTCATTTGATTGTGAGCTCTTCAAGGCAGAAGTCTATTTTAATTTTTTTTCTCTTAATTTCCCCGCAGGGCCTCGTTAGTATTCCTCTGCCTCTGCTCACGGTAAGTACTAAACTAATCATTAACTCACTTAGCCATAGCTTCTGTCGTTTGAAATTGACCCTTAAGTTTCTGGATCTTACCCTAAAGACAAATTATTTTGTATAATACCGAAATAAAGAATGGGTTCTCTCCCTGCAGACTAAATTCCTTTCCTTTCAGACTCACAGAGGGAATTCTAACGGTAGAATTGGCCAAAAGCTGTTTGTGTGTGGGCAGGTGATTTGCTGCAGGCAAAACAACAATGCTAGCTAATACTTCAGAGCACTCACTATGTTGCATTCATGACTTGAGTACTTTGAGCTTATTACTTTGATCAATTCTCACCACCTCACCAAGATGCGCACTGCCCCCACCCCCATTTTACAGTTGAGGAAACAAGCATTGAGAGATTATGGAATTTGTCAAGTTCACACAGCTAGTAAACTGGTGGAGTCAGGGTTTGAACCTGGTCTGTAAAGCCTGTGATTTTACCACTAAGTTATCCTGCACCATGTATATATATATAAATTGATATATATATGGATTTTGGGTTTGGGACGGTCAAGGGGGAAGAAGGTTTTTGTGTGTTTGCTTGGATGGTTAGGGAAGAAACTAGGGGAGGAATGATGGATACCTATTTCACTGTTTCGAGCCACTTTATGGCAGGAAGAGTGAGGATGAGAGGCAGCGGGAGCTGATTTGTGAAAGGCTGTGAGGCTCTGGGCTCTAGCAGGGCTGCCTTGGGTCTCAGACCAGTTGCCAACCAGTGTGCAGTGAGGGCCATATATCACAGCTCGAGAGTGGCCACTGTGCTGTAGGCCACCGTGTAGCTCTCACATCTGACAGCACTTAATGGAACAGCAGCAGGCTCACAGGTTGGGGTGTCATGAACTGCTGGGCAGTGGCCAAGAGGTGGGGGCAAAATGCAGTGAAAGGTCTTGTGCCTGAGCACATGTCAGGTGCATCGTCTAGACAACCCAGACATAACTGGGAAAGACTTCGAAGAGTGCATCAGAATTCCTGAATGAGCAGGCTAGGGCTCAGAGCTGTGGAAGTGCTAATGTTATTGTGACTTCATTTGTACTCACTGCTGGTGAGGTCTAGGACATTTGAGTTTTACATTATTCAAGGCTGGTGTAGACCTGTATTTATTACACGATAATTCAAGGCTGGTGTAGACCTGTATTTATTACACGATAGGATTTAAGACATGGTATTAAAACCCACATTAATAGAAAACAGAGTCTTTGGAATATCAAGGTTAATTTCTTATCCAAGAAAGGAATCTTTGATTTATTAATAAGAGCCGTGAAGGACAGTAGGTATATCCCAAGCGATTGGCTGCTTACATCGGGAGCATTTGCACCTGGGATACAAAAGGAAGTTCACCTGCGGGGCAGGCACTCTTAGTGGCCACTCCCTCGGCTGTCCTTCCTCCATCTTGCACACAGAACAGAGCTGCTGGGCAGCTGTGTGCTTCTGGAAGGCAAGCCCCTGCCCTGCCCTACCCTAAGGGGTGAATTTTGATTAGTCTGCACCAGACCAGATAGGAGAAATCTTTTCCTTTTGCCAGGAATTGTTTTAGGAAAGGGTCTACGGAGCAATTCTGCCAAGTTTGGGAAGGTTTTCTTGTTTTTAAAAACAATAGCCTCTCTTCTGGCTTTGGGACATCATGAAGTGATGCTGGAGACTGCCGCAGCCACCTTGCCTCCGTGCAGCCTGATTGCAGGCAAGAGCCAAAGGTTTGCAGTGGCAGGACGAAGAAAATACCATGCGTCCTTGAAGAGGCTTTTGAACTTCTAGAGTAACCAGTCCTGAAGCCCACCCCCCACCCCCTTCAAACCTTTTGTTTGATTGAAACATGTATTTTTACATTTTAATATTTCTGAATGTGGGAGGCATCTTTTGAACAATGGTATGTTAGTTTCAGTGAAGTACAGGATGTGACATTGTAAAAGGAAGTCTTACTGTTTAAGTTGTTCTTAAGTTGGGTGTTCTGTTAGAATCAAAGTCAATCTAAATGATATGATCAACATTTTTCAAATCTTTTTTTTTAATGACTGTTCCCTGGAAGAATGGGTCACAGCAAAATAAAGAAAATGAACCGTCATCAAATTACCTTTTTGCAAAAATAACAGCTAGTATATAGTGTTTACTCAGTGCCAGACACTGCTCTAAACACCTTTTTTAAAAAACCACTTTATGGTTGGAGATCTGATTGACATACAGAAAGCTGCACATGTGGTGTATAAACCTTGATGACTCTGAGCACCTGTGTTTTGCAATCTCATTCAACTCTCACGGCAGCCCTATCATTATCCTCCCATTTTGCAAAGTACTGAAAGGTGAAAGTCATAAGTAAGTGGAAGCACTGAGATCTGGACTGAGACAGTCTAGCTTCCAAACCTATGGTCTTAACCGCTGTTCTGGGTTTCCTGGAAAAATACGCTATGACAGTGGAACATGCTTTGCTCACTCCAGTGACTTTAATTCATCCAGCTATAAAACCCATTATAAAAGCATAAAGGATGTTTTTTCTTCGATTTCTCAGGACTGTGAAAGAGTGCCACAAATCCTGTTCAACAGAAATCTGGGACCACTGAACATAGCTTTAAATTCCTGGAGAAAAAGAGACAGAACAACAGGGACCCTATTTATTGAGAATAGATGACCTTGGGTTGTGGTGGATTCTTTCCTGTGTTGACCAGTAGCACCCATTTCACTAGCCTGCTCTGCAGATCTGTTGCTTCTCAAAATGATTGTTTAATGGTTTTTTTTAAGTGAATTTGAAAATGTATAATCCCTTTGACCTGCTCTGCTGTTTCTCGACAAGCTTCTCCTTCCCAGAAACCCCCACCTTCTCACAACTGCATCACCTTTCCTCAGGCTGTTTGTTCCCTTTGCCTTAACATTTCCTTTCCCTCGTTCTCTATTCTGTGTAGCAAATCCCAGCTCCCTCTTCAGTATGTCCTCCGTGAAGTCTTACCTGAGATGCTCTAACAGTCTGTCCTCTAGTTCTTTCCTCAGTGTTCCCCCGATAGGCCGGTTTAGCACATGCTCTGCGACCAGGCGGACCTGGAGTCCTGTGCCAACTCTGCTGACTCGAGCTGAGTAGCCCCGGGCAGATGCCTTCACCTGTCTCTAAGCCTCCTTACCTGCAACCGGAGGAGTAGGGGGCCCTTCCAAGCCTCGCAGGACAGTGGTAGGGTTGTGCATGCAAAGCACCTAGCACGGGCCTGGCACAAGGGAAGCTCTCCGTAAATGGAGCTCTTGTGTGAATAGACGTACTTTTACTGCTCACTGTTTTGTGGTTATTTGTTTTCATGTCTGGCTTTTCCACTAGACCGTGAGCAAGACAAGAATCAAGTCTTCATTCTTGTGTTTTGTTTTGTGTTTTAACTGTTTAAGTCATCTTTATTAAGGTGTAATTTACATTCAATAAAATGCATCCATTTAAAATGTACAGTGCAGTAGTCCAATAAATGTATACATCTTTGCAGCCACAGTCCCAGCAGGATATAGAACATTTTCATCACCCAGAGATCCCCTTCACACCCTTTTACAGTCAGTCTCCATCCAGCCCTGGCCCCAGGCAACCACTGATCTATAGATTAGTTTTGCCTGTTCTGGAATTTCATGTAGATGGAGTCATACAGTAGGTGCTCCTTTGTGTCTGGCTTCTCTCAAGTACCTGTGTTGTGGCTTTCATCAGTAGTTTGTTTCCTTTTTAATTACTGAATGTTATTCCACTGTATGAATATGCCACAATATTTTTACCCATTTGCATGTTGGTGGACATTTGGGGGTGTCCGGTTTGGAGCTATGATTAATAAAGCTGCTATGAACATTTTTGTGCAAATCCTTTTGTGGACATAAGTTTTCATTCCTCTTGGATAACTTCAGGGGAAACTGCCAGGCTGGTTTCCCAAGTGGTGGTGACACTTACACTCCCCCAGCAAAGTCTCACAGGGTTGTACTTGCACCACACTCTCGCCAACGTCTGTTATGGTCAGTCTTTAATTTTAGCCATTCTGGTGGGTGTGTGATCATATCTCGATGTGGTTTTAATGTGCATTCTCCTGTTGACTATGATGTTGAGCATCTTTCTGTGTGTTTATTGGCCCTTTGTGTACTTTTTTTGTGAATGTCTATTAGAACCCTGCAATTTTATTGGCCTGTCGTCTTACAGAGTTGTCAGAGTTCTTTCTATTTCTCTGGATGCATGTTCTTTCTCAGATACTTGCTTGGGGGATGTTTTCTCCCAGTATTCCCGGTTCTGATGAAGTCCAGTTTATCCATTTTGCTTTTATAGTTCATGCTTCCTATATTTTGTTGAAAAGACTTTCCTTTCTCTGTTGAATCACCTTTGTCATGTCTGTCTTTCGATCCCGTTGATCTGTGTGTATGTCCTTAGGAATGCTGCACTGTCTTGAACTCTGATCACGTCTCCTCACCTCAGTGAGACCACCATGGTCTGCGTGGCTTTCCCTCCCCACGCCACAGGTAGGGAACTATCTGAGGCAGTCATGAGGTCACTGTCCTGTGTGCTACCTGTTGTCAAGTGTCTGTTTCTCATATTTTGCTCAGTTTTCTGGTTGTTTATGACAGGAAGTCAATTAATTTCTGTATCCACAATGCATGGCGCACAGACACTCTGTAAATGTCTGTTGAGTGAGTAAGTCTTTGTTAGCACCTCCAGACACAGTCTGTCATAGTCTCTCTGGATTGGGAGAGTCTGTGGGTCCCCCAGAGGTCATCTGGCCCATCCCCTTCATTTTAGTAGACAGTCTTTTCCTGAGGATGGTCATTAGTCCTTTACGTCCTCAGCACCAGCCCACCTGGGTTCAATACATGCCTATTACATGGGGAAACTGGGGTCCAGAGAAGGAAAGGTCACGTGACCAGGCAGTGGCTGAGCTGGCAGAACCAGGCTTCCAGGCCCGAGACCTGTGTCTTGTACTGACTGGAAAGGCCGGCACTGTCTCTTTCATCGTTTTCTCAACACCAACCCCTAACCTGCGATTAGTACGTTGTAGGTTCCCTATAGGTGCTTGTTGAATAAATGAGCAAGTGAATAAATTAAATAATTTCTTTTAATGCTTAGCTCACCTGGCTTCTGCATGTGCTATTAAACAGGCATGTGTGTTCACATAAGATGGGACTGGCCATTCCTACCCAGGCTCATAGGTCATAGTCATCAGTCACTCGTAATTTTCTCAGGCACCCTCTCGTTTTAGTCCCCACTAGGGGGCATGTGTATCCCACAGAGAGGGTCTGTAGTCCTTAGGTGCCTGGACTTGTTTCCAGCTTAAGTCAGTGTATCCTTCTTGAAGCCACCTCCTTGGTCCCCATGCCCTGCACCCTCCCTCCTGCAAAAACAAGCAAAGAGCGCCTGCTCCTCCAGTTCCCCCTCCAGCTGGGCTGCTGGCTGCCGTCCTTTCCCTCCCAGGGGCTCTGCTCTGGTTGAAGGAGGCAGCAGTGTGGCAGTGGCAGTGGCTGTGAGTGATGGCCTCACTGTCATCCCTGCCAGTGGCCACTGCTTCCTCCCTGAAGGGGATGACAGATCCTGGAGAGGCAGCTCTCCTCACTCCCCTCAACTGGCAGGCAAGGACTGCCCTCTCGGGACCGAGAGTCTGGTCTGCCATAGAACTTTGGGTTCCTGAGGAGAGCACGTGAGTAGCCCTGGCTAACCGTTCCTGGCCACCTGCAAAGGCACCTCCGGGGTGGGGCTACAGCTCTCCATCCTTGTGCCTGGAGGATGGTCACACTGCGACTTGCTCCCAGCTCCTTATCTAGACGTAGGTCCTCCCTGCCAGGACAGCCTCACAGGCTTTGGCATCATGTTGCCCGGGAGCAGGTCCTGGCTTTGCTACCAGCTGCGAGTGACCTAGAGCAAGTTCTGTGAACTTCACTTTCCTTAGTGGGTAAATGAGGTTAACAGCAGTTCCTGCTTCATAAATGAGACAATGCTCATAAGTAAAGCTCTTGGGCCCTTTTTCGCTCCCTCCTCTTCTGAGACGGCCTGCACGCTGTCTGTGGATTGTGTACCTACTTTTACTTTAACCTGAGTGCCCAACTCCCACACTTCCTGGCCTTTCTCTTGCCTTACACTCAATGCAGTATGTATCTCTCTAAATAAATCTATCTTTACTCAAAAAAGAAAAACAGAAACAAAGCTCTTGGCACAGTGCCTAGCACAGAGTAAGTGTTGGAGACCTATTGGCCATCATCAATAATATTAGTGGTATCTGTATCACTATATAAAGTAAATGTCGGTAGGAGCCACTTAGCTGTTCTTTTGAGGCTCACAGAGAAGCATTACTACCTCCAGCTCAAGGTCTTGGGCTTTTCTTAACAGCGAGGCCCGTGCAGAGGGGCCCTGGAAGCAAGCGGGACCAGTTGAGTCCCCTATTCTTGTGCCATTGTGCCGGCCTCAGATCAGGCGCTCCACGCCCCTCCCCAGGCTTGGACCTGGGCCTCTCCTCTGTGCCGCCCACCCAGGACCGTCCCTCCTGCAGACACTCGGTCACATGTGGGATGGGCGGGTACTCTCTCTGGCCGCCTCTGCACCCTGGGGTGATGGCAGGCGGCAGCAGCTGCTGCAGCTGCTTCCCTTGCTCCCCCTCCCCACCGCTCATTAGCTCTCTGGTCATGTCCCAAGCTCCGGGAGAGACTGGCAGCAGCCCTGAGCCTCAGCCACAGAAGTAGCAGACGGCAGCACCTCCCAGCTCCTGGCTGCTGCCCTCGGCCACCCTGCAGCTCAGAGCAGCCTTTTCCCTGTCACTCAGGCTCCCACCAGCAGAGAGATTAGCATTCAGACGGAGAATGGAAAAACATCAGGGCAGCCACCTCCTGTCTTCTCTGGGAGCTGAGATTCATTCAGAGAAGCAGAGCCAGCTGGGGGAAGCTTTCCAGGCCAAGACCCTCCGCCCTCGGAGGTTGGGACAAGGTTCTAGGTACCCAGAAGCAACAGCACTGTGCTCTCGCCCAGTATTACTGGGTGCTGGATCTTACTGTGTGCCCTCTCCCCAGCAGTTCCACCCTCTGCTGTCCTCTGATTTGCTTCAGAAGTGCCTATTGCCCAGCTGTGGTGTACCTGGGAAGACAGGTCAGGAAGGGCCATGGGGAGGAGGTGAGGGATGCTAGCTGTTCTGAACCTACTAACTATTCAGAAATTACTAATTGTTCAGTGATTGATAGTTGGCAAACACAATCACACTCGCTCACATATATTGAACACTTACTAAACGTGCTAAGCATTTTACACACAGCATCTAACATTAACCCTACAACAATGCTGTGAGATAGGTTCACTGTTATCTCCATCTTACAGATGAGGAAACTGAGGCCCAGAGATGTTCAGTAACCTACCCAAGGCCACAGAGGTAGGAAGTGGCAGTAGAGTCAAGATTTAAACCCAGCACTCTGGACTCCTTGCTCTTAGACTCTTTATCATGATTTCATAACAGCCCACGCCCTGGACCAGGAGTGACCCAGCTCTGCGCCTCAGCCCTGTCTCTCGAGTTGCCCTTAATCCCTTCCCTCCTACCATGGCCAGTCTACCAAGCCCCTAAACTTCCTGCTCCCACTTCTAGGCAGCGGCTCTTTCCAAGGACATGGGAGGGGAGAAGGACTCAGCCTCTTGGGAACATTGCGTTCACCCCCGCCATGGGCTTCACACCAAACGCTGTGACAGGAGACAGTGGACCGAGGACGGGGCCCCGGTCCCGGGCAGCCTTCTGTAGAGGAGCTCCAGGCCGAGGGTGGCAACTCTGCAGTAGGAGCTGCAAATGTGCGGACTGTGCAGAGAGCCCAGGGGTGGGAGAGCCCTGAGAATAAGAGGCGAGCGTGGGCCGGGTGTGTGGGGAAGGTGTAAACACAATCTGCTCCCACCAGAGCCAGCCTGCTCCCTGGTGGGGAGAGCCCCTCCCGCCCAGCCCACATGGCACCCCAGCTGCCAGGGCCCGGCAGACACATCCCCCCACCTCCAGCAGCCCCTTCCTCTCACTTTCCCTCCCTTCTTCTGGAACCAATCCCCAGAGGAGACTTCATCTCCTGGGCAGGCTCTTCGAACTGGGCTACAAAGGGGTGTCACTTTGTGGATGTGCGTCTGGGCTGTGAGCCAGCCCTAGTGCAGCTCGGCGACCTTGGTCTGACAGTTCCTCAGACCAGCGGAAGGAGACAGGCAACTTGGAAATGGCAGACAGCAGAAGCAAGGATGAAGTGACAGGAACACGGCAAGTGGATTAGAGAATGGAAGCAAGATAGGATCAGGGAACACAGACTGGGTCCCGGGAACAGTGCCCTCTGGCCCTCTGCCTGAGAGACCTGTCATCAGGAAGGCTGATGCCTCCCCGGAGAAAGGCAGGCTGACGGGAGCTGAGACAGGTGGTCATGAACTCATGGCCTGTGTCAAGTAGGCAGTGCGGCTCTGATTTGGTTCCAGCACAGAGCTCCTTCCCCTGGTGCGACCCTTCCCCTGCCTCCACCCTGCCCTACTTTTAGAGGCTCCCACAGAACTGCCAGACTCCCTGCAGTCTGAGCAGCCCCTCCCCGGCAGCCCGTGCCTCCTCCTCCCTGTCACTCAGAGTGGGTTCCCCTAGTCTGCTGCGTCTCACCCTTTCCTGCTGTCTGGAGAACAACTCCATCTCTTCTGGCCTGAAAGTCAGGGACCGGGGCCAGAGGGGCAGAGGCCCACCCCACTGCGGGGGCAGCCGGGGCTGGATGGGGAGGAGAGATGCACGTGGGGGTGAGGCTGGGGTGCTTAGAACATAAATGGCCACGAGGCAGCCAGCAGCAGCTGCCGGCAGGGTCTGCGCCTGGATCGCAGGGAGCAGAAGCGGAAATCTGCTTTTATCTCTGCCTAGGATCGGGCAGGATTGTAAAGAGAGAGAAATGGCGGAGCAGCTGGGGGCAGAGGGAGGCCACCGCCACCGTTACTGAGCAGTCAGCAGACTGACAGAAACAAGTGTCATGTTTTCTCCCTTCCCACATGCTACTGCCCATTTGGAACACAGGCACGTGTGCACACTCACACACACCCAGAAAACACACTCCGAGGTCACGCTGTGGGCTTCCATCCAGCTGCAGGCAGACATGTCACAGACCCAACTGGCATTTCCTACTGATCATTTCAGTAGAGCAGCCAGGGACAGGGTGAGCTCTGGGGCCCGGGAGAGGCAAATGTCATAGGAAGTGAGAGCCACCATCACCAGCCGACAGCACACAGCCCTGGACCAGCTGAGCTGCTGGAGACAGGCAGGCAGGCCGGTGAGACCGCCTCCGCTGAGCGGCTGCAGGCTTCCCAGTGGCTGGGGAGGGGGCGGTGCTGTGGGGGTGAAGAGTGTGGGGCTCTGCCACCTCCATATGAGCCAGGGGTCCCCCACTTCCTAGACTCTGTGTTTCCGCATGCCTAAACTGTGGGTAAGAACGTCACCAGCCCCTGTGGGTTATCGTGAGGGCCAGAGTAAAGGGTGAATGGGGCTGCCCCTCAGCACGAGTCTTCCCGCCTCTAACCTAGGCGGCTGGGGTGACCCCAGAGTTACACAGGGGACCCCATGGAGACCCCCTCTCTGGGCCTCCTCAGAGGAAGGGAGCCCGTCCCAGAGCTCAAGCACCTGGGCCTCTCCCACCTGCCCAGCCAGGAGCCCCCCCCACCAGCCAGGGCCTCAGCAGAAGTGCAGCCCGGCAGGTCCCAGGGCCCAAAGGGGAGTCTACCTTCTCGACAGCTGCTTGTCCCCGTCCCTGTCCCCATCCTCCCTCCTGCAGCTGCTGCTTCCACCACAGCGTCCTTTGGGGGTAGCGGGCAAACCAGGACTTGAGCTGAAAAAGAAAACCAAGCCAGGTCAGCTCTTCCTCCCATCCCAGAGCGGGGCCTTGGATTTCAGAGTTGGATGGTTCAGAGCACCGCTCCCCCTGAGAAGTCCTCCAGCACAGCCCTCAGGCCCTGAGCATGACCACCACCTCATCCCCAGGCCTAGAATATACCGTTGAGATCACACATAGTTCTCTTAAAACTAACCCTTGCCGCATGGCCTGGAACATAACGGGCTTGAGGCAGCAGTCTACCCCCTACCCTTGACCTTCATCGTGATCGAGACCACACTGCTGAAGAGGCCTGCTCCGCTCCCATGTGGCCAGGACTTGCATATTCTTCCTTCCTTGACCCCAGCCCTGCCCTCGGCCCTCCAGGCTCCAGACCCTGCCCTACCTGCCTTGGCCAGCTGATCTCGGGCCCTGGGGCTGAGCCCCACCTGAGGAGGTGAGGGCTTACTTCAGAGGCTCTTTTTCCCTAAGGAGGAAAATATGTGAGTCAGAGGGTTGGAGGGGATGACCTTCCCATGTTTCCAGCCCTCCTCCCCTCCCACCCCCAAACCTAGTGATTCACCCCACTACTAAGGAGCAGGAGCCTGTTGGAATTTGTGACTGGGGAATTGGAGAGCAGAAATTTCACACCCTGGGCCAGCCCTCCATGGCAGCCAGCCGCCATCAGCAGGAGGTGTTATAGGTTAGGCCAATTTTTCCAATTAACTGGGTCCCAAAGAGTTAATAGGCAACCGCTTCCTTCTGGCAAGGCCACACCAGACCAGCCTGGCCAGATGGTCCCAGGTTTGACCTTTCCTCTCCTGACAGGAGGTCCAGGCTCATTTCATGTGGAGGAGATGAACTGTCTGCAGTCAGGGACCCGTCAGTCCCCCATCAGCCACAAATTGGGTAGGGGACCTTGAGCAAGTCATCTGCAGCTCCCTGTCCCTTGGTTCCCTGCACCCTTAACAAGACATGAAAACATCTGAACTGCCAAACCTCTGGGGCCACTGAGGCTTCTGAGTGAGTGCGTGTGTGAGATACCTCTAGGGAAGAAGAGAGCACTGATCACAGAGCAAGCAAAGGGTGAGTGTTCACCCAACAGTTGCTCTGTGCTCAGTGCTTTACAATAATTCTCTCATTTTAACCTCACAAAAGCCTCATAACCACTGTTAATCCCAGTTTACCTGTAAATAAAAGGGTTGCATAATTTGCCCACGGTCTCTCAGTAAGAGAGGAGGTAGGATTTCAACTCAGGTTGCCCCACTCCAGACCCAAACAAACTCAACAGTGAGGATCAGTCAGCATCTGAGGGCCTCCTGTGTGTCACCCGTTCCACCAGTGGTAGTAACTGGGCACCATTGTGCCACCTCAGTTAGCCTAGGTGTCAAGGAAGCGCATCACAGAAACGACTGTTTCCCACACAGGCCCTGGGCTTCCCAGGGCCTTCTGTCATTCTGAACCTGGGGGAATCCAAGGACTGAGAAATCAGGGCAGAGACGGAAAGACTCAAGTTCCCTCGGCTCGCCAGCCTCACGTATCTAAGGGGCCCTCTGCAGGCACTGTCCACACCCTGAAAGAGACAGGAGGCACACGGGCCTCCCTCCAGGGGCCCTGGAGCAAGGAGGTCACGCTCTTTGTTCCAACAGCAGTGAGAGAAGCGGTGCGGTGCCGGGGGCTAGAAGATGCTCCCACAGCGCAGCAGCCGCTCTTCACACAGCTTTCCCACACTCGTGGGCCCACAGGCACAAAAGAACATCCCCAACAGTCTGTTCTTAATAAGTGTTTGTTGATTTTTCAGTGTTCTGTTGGGCTTAGAGCCCCTATTAGCAAAGGGCACTAGTCACCCAGGGAAGGAAAAGTCCAGAAGTTCCCCGAACTTCCCCCTTTGTAAAGGCCACATGGCTTCAGCCTAGGAAGAGTTAACTTTCTGGCCACTGGAGACAGCGTCCTGCCCGCAGGGGCTGCCCGGCCAATGGCACTCAGTGCTGATGATGTCATGCGCCTCCTGCGCCTTCTATTGGGGACTGGACAGCGAATCCTGCTGGAGGCTCCGGCAGAGGAGCTGCTGAGGCTGGGTGGGGGCAGCGGGAGAGGGAGGGGGAAGGGAAGGCGAGCAAAGTGATGCCAGCTGCCTCTGCCTCATCCCTCTCTCCACTAACCACCCCCTCCGCACCTTCCTACAGAAGGGGCCCTGGGGACCACCCTGCTCGGACCAAAGGCAGAGCAGCTTTGGTCCAGAGGAGAGGCTGGGGACTCCCATTCCGAAATGAAGAAAACAGACATTGAGCCTGCCCACTAGGCATCTAGGGAACAGTGTAGCGAGGCTAGGGAACAGGGTAGCGGGGCGAGGGTCCAGCCTGGAGCGCGTGCACACACACCCCCATGTACATCCCCAAGCCCGGACAAGGGCAGGGAACACCGGCAGCTTCCATAGCAGCACCCTCTCTCCTCCACCCCAGGCTCTCTTCTGCCTTACCTGCCTGAGGACTGGCAGTCTGTCTCCATGCTGGTGCCTGTAACTGCCCCATCTACTCCACTGGGCTCTCTGTGGGAGGAAAGAAAAAGGCAGGCAGAGCTGTGGGTAGCACCCAGACCCCAGACCCCTCTCTTGCTTCTCTGCAAGACCTGAGCCACGATGGGCTGTGGGACTGGAGGCTGTGGCCAGTGTCTTCGAAGGGCTCCGAGTTCCCCTACTCTGAGGGAGCCTCTTAGGGATCCCTGGCAAATCCCTCCCAGCCTCCTGGAGCCCAGGCAGTCCCTGACAGCCTTCCGCTCAGCCGTAACCCAGCCCAGTGGTTTGTCCCCCGCCCAAGTCCATGGCCCAGTCAGTTTCTCACGGTTGGACCCGGTTGGCAAATCGGCGGCGCCAGAGCATGGCCAAGGTGCTGAGCAGGAAGAGTGTGGTGCACATGGCTCAGTTGCCCCATCCCCTCCCAGCCCGAGTCTGCAGAAGAAGGCCAAGATGGCCCCTGCCAGCCCTCATGAGCTGCTGCTGCCGTCCTGAGGTTTCTGCTGGTGATGGATTAGGAGGCTCAAGCTGATTAGTGGGGTCAGTAGACCCGACCTTGTGAAGACCGATTAACCTCACTGGGCCCGGGGTGTCCCCTGGTTGGCAGGGTGAATCCACTTCTGTCTGTTCTGGATGTACATATGACTAAGCCCTGGGCCTGGCCCTCAAAGGGCTTATAGTCTAGACTGACGCACTGTCGAGTGAAACAAGTGACCGCAACAGAGAGACTCAGGGAATGAACAGCGCCAAGAGAGCAGCTGGGGAGTTGCGAGCACCAGAGGAGGCTTTAGAGAGGAGCTGGGGCATCTGAATTTGCAGGGCTCAAGAAAGGATGGGCCTCTGCCAGGGCCACAGGCGTGAAAGCGCAGGGCGTGTCCGACAACTGGGGGTTGAGTGTTGGTGGAGCAGTGATGTCACAGGGGAGGCATTGGGAAGGGAGGAGCAGAGGGGAAGATAGACGATGAAGCCAGAAAGACTTCACGTGGTTCACGTCTAACCTCTGGACAATCCTCTCCAAATGTTTCTGATGACATACCCTCTTCAGTGAAAAGTAGAATTGAAGTGTGCCCTCATGAAGTAAATATAAGCATCCACTTATAAATTATATACTACATTACTGTGCAAATACAGCCCCACAGCAGAGACATACATAAAATTTGCAAAGGACTAGATAATAAGGTTTCTCCTATTTTCTGTCCACATCCCAGTGGGACCTCTTGGGCAGCCACTTGGAAAAGGCCACTGCATTGGCTCTGGGAAGCTATCAGAGGAGTTTAATGAGGGGACCTAGCACAGCCTGCTTGGTCTTGGCCCAGGCAGCATGCAGAGCACAGACCAAAAGCGAGGATATGGGTCTAAGAGTGGTGGAAGAGACTGAGCCCACCCACTCTCCTCCATCCCTCTCCAAGACCCCCAGAAGAGGGCATTAGATTTTCCTTCCCTCAAGTGAGATCTCAGTGCCAAGAGGCCTCCTGCCAAGATTCCAGTAAAGTACCTGAACCCTGGGCTCCAGCAAGCGCCGGGGCTGCAGCTGTGCCTCAAATCTCGGCTTTGGAATACGAAGTTTTAAATAAACACATAAAACAAAGCTGAAGAGGAGAGCCACCACTCTTGCAATACTTGACACACTGGACACAGACTTGAAAAAGGCAGGGTCACCAGGGAGTCTTAGGGAGAACTGGACACACCCCACACCCCCATCACCTGTTTCAGATGCTTGCAGCCCCCACCCCACCCTTTCTAGCCTCAGGCTTCAACTGGGAGTCAGAGGTGGGACCTGGCCATACCAGGACTCAGCAGCTTCTTGCAGGATGGGGATCTGGTGGCTCTCAGTAGCACAGTCCCCCAGCTCTGGTCCAGTCACACTCACACCTCCCTGAGCAGGACCGCCAGGACAAGAATTTGCCTCCTTCACCCACAGAAACTGTCTCTAATCCCCGCCTTAGTGGCTGGGATGTCTCCAGCAGCCTGGGCCTCCCCAAGACCTCTTGACCCCCCTCCCCTTTCAGTTCTGCTTTGGCCGTCCCGGCTGCCTCTCCTTTGGACTTTGCTTCCCCCAGGGCAGGAATTAAGGGCAGCGCCAGGTTTTGGCCTGCTTGTGTAATTAATAAGCCACCCAGGGCCTTCTTTATGACGCCATGTGAGTGCACCAAGGGGGAGGGGTGCTGGCGGGAAGGAAATGAGAGGGCCAGGCCTCTGGTGCTTAAATTCGACAGCCGCCCTCCATCCCGTCAGCGGTGGATTCCTGTAAGGTATTGGAACACGGAGATAACCCCAGTCCTAAACCCTCCAGAGTCTGGGGTCCGGAGCTCTGGGGGTGGCGCCGCAGCCTCCCGCGGCTGGCTCACGAGAGGCCGGAAAAGAGCGGGAGCCCAGCTCCGACAGCTGGCCGCCCGAGGGGCTCGTGTCCGCCCCCTCGGGCCGGCGGCCACGCCGCAAATGCCTAGGAGTGTTTGACTTTGAGTCAGTTCCCCGCCGCGGGAAGGGTGCACACAGGCATACGCCCCGACGCCGCCCGCAGAGTGAGCAGGGACCCGCTGCCCCCACACCCGCACCCGCACCCGCC